TTCTACCATCTGTCCATTACTCCAAAGTACAAAAGAAGTGAGGATTTCATTTGAGGGCCACATATATTATTTTTAAACTGTAATCACCAAGGCTTACAACCTTATTTTCCTACAGAAAAGTAAGTTACCACTAGTCCTGCTTTTGTCTCTTGAAATTTCCATCTTTCTTGCCAGAAAGCAGCATCTGTATAAATCCCCCTGCTTTTGACAACTCTGACTTCTTTGATAAACTACCCATGTGTGTGGGGAGGGACAGAAAGATGGAGGAAGCAAATGGGGAAATGAGTTTTCCCCTCTTCAGATTAATGTATATGAAGTATACATCTGACACTTCATCAGCACTCCCGGCTGGTGTCCCAGCAGGCGGACACTGGCTAAGCATGTATCCTGCCAGCTACCAGGCTACTTAGGATGAATTGGCAATGTGCCATTTATCTGAAATGCCCAATGTGTCTGGGAGAGGGAGCACAACTACATTTAGCATTGCCAAGGAAAACTAGATACTTCAGGCTAGGAATTAATCTCCTCCTTGAGAAGGTAGTTAGCATTACCCTCAAGCGTGCCTATGGCATTTAAATCACTATAGGTCATGCATTTACTAAAATTCATACCTACCAAACCACGAGGCCTTCATTTATATCTTACTAACATATCAATACCTCTCAGGTTGAGAGTCTGTACTTTTCAGAAATGTTTATTGTTGTGTTGAACAGGAAATTCTGTTTTATCAAGTGCAGCGCTGTCATTTGGACATAAATCACTTGGATTCCAGTTTTTCCAATTTTTCCACACTTGATGACACACATTGCTTCAACTTACTTCTTCCACGGACCCACAAAACAGTGAAATCAACAGGACCATATCAGGTCTCCTTACAAGCATATTAACCACATTTTCTTGAATGTGGACAGTGATCCTCTCTTGATGAACTGGGTCACCCTATTTTTTGAGTGGCTGATGTGAAACTACATGGAATTTGGCTCATCACATGGACTTCAAGGCTAATGGCATATCTAACACACAGAACGACAAAAACAAAGAGGTATTTAGATGGATGGTCTTATTAGGCCACCCATTCCAGCACACAGCATTGCAACATCACTCTTGCCTTGCAACTAAAGCCATCTGTCACTTTGTGGGAATAATTATTCGTTCCATCAGCCATATTTATTGAATGCTTCCCACATGCAAGGAGTTGTGCCAGGAGCAGTGAGGTCCAGATTCAGAGGAGACAGGAATTCTGCCCTCAAGGAGCCTGCAGTCTTGCAGCGGGTATCAGGGACCAACACAAAGAACTAAAACTGATGGTGCACAATGGTAAACAAGAGTCAGGAGAAAGGGTGATTTATAGCCCTGAGATGGGAGGGGGCTCTGAGATAGGGGAGCGGGGAGGGAGGTGGCAAGGGGATTGAGGATAGTGGCCTGGAAAGAGGGTCAGGGTGAAGCACACTGTACTGTTCAGAGCACCACGCTAAACATCGCTTTTTGAGAAGGAAAAGGGAAAAAAGGAAAAAGGGAAAAGTAAGTTCTAGTAAGTGGACATTTCCACCTCCGGAGCATCAGTCTCTATCACTACAGAGATAGATAGTTGTAATCAGGAAGATAATTTAGATGTCATCCAATCCAAGAAATAGCAAACATTAACCGTAATGGTTCTGCAAAGGGTATCCAAAGCCAACAAAGTCATTAACCTGGACTGAGTGACATACCGAAATCAGCAATATGGCCAGAAACGTGGGCAGATCGCAGAACTATGAGGAAAATAAGATGGTACTCTGCCTGGCAGCTCTCCTCCAGCTGCCACTGCTCTTTCGACAATGGAACAGGAGGGCGGGCGCAAGGGGAGAGGACTTGGTCAAACAGCCCGCAAACAGTTTTCCTTAAACTATAATCAGGAAGCAGTGAAACCTCTAAAGGAAAGATATGATGAGAGTTACATTTTAAACTTTCACTGTCCGGCATAAATGGTTAACCATAGTCTGGCTTCTGTACTCAATCTTACCCATAATAGGTTAGCAACAGAAGTAATTACACTGCTAACATTTGAGACTTGTTATGTGCCAGGTACTATTTTAAGTTTGCTCTCGATGGTATTTTAGCACTTTTTCTAGTTTTGCTCTTAAGCAAACAGTGGAAAAACTTGCAGGGCAGGTAAGCCAGTAATTTAATGACACTTTGCTAAGAATCTCATCAGACAGATTTTAGAGAGTACTCTTTTGTATTTTCTATTAATGGCTCTCTTTATCTTTTTATCTTATTCCCAAGCCTTAGGTCACCTGACATGTGTTTTAAGAATGAATGAATCAACTTCTGTTTCTGACTATGTGACTACCAGTATTACATAAGATATATTCCCTTTAACAGTGCTTTTTAATCAGAATAATTTACTTGGCAATAAACAATACAGGATTACTATCTAAGTGTTAAGAGTAATATTGCAGTGACCAAAAAATACTTCTGTTTAAAAAAAAAAAAAATCACTGGGGCACCTGGGTGGCTCAGTTGGTTAAGCGTCCAACTTCAGCTCAGGTCACAATCTCGCGGTTTGTGGATTAGAGCCCTGTGGATTTGAGTTGGGCGCTGTGCTGACAGCTTGGAGCCTGGATCCTGCTTAGGATTCTGTGTCTCCTTCTCTCTCTGCTCCTACCCTGCTTGCTCGTTCGCTCTCGCTCTCTCTCTCAAAACAATAAACATTAAAAAAAATTTTTTTAAAGCACTAATTCTGAGGAATTTCCCTCTTCTTTAAAAAGTAAATGCTTTCAGTAAAATAAGCTTTTAATATAATTGCCCAAGAAGAAAAACTAAAATTGAACTTGGGGATGGAACGAAGGCAAATTCTAACTACTATCGTTGTAAACATACCTTTAAATATAAGTCTCCAAATTTTCATGAGAGGAAAAAGATGAACTTTGATTTGAAAATCATAGTCAATTTTGAAGTCATAAATTTTCTGAAAGACACTTTTTTAGGGATAACTATTCACTATGTTCATAATCTTTATTATTCTAGAAGCAAAATCAGGGAATCCCGAAGTTGAATTCCAGAGACTGCTTAAATACCTCTTTTCATCTTGCAGGTACAGCTGAGTTGATACAATCTGAGAAACTAAGTGATCTGCCCAAGTTTATACAGCTACCTAATGGCAAAAGCAAGACTAGAATCTCAACCTAAATCAAATCTCCCTGATTGCTGAATGATTCTCAAATATCCAACTTATTCATTACCAATGCATAAGATTATAAGGCACCGCAATGCACTCATTTATTATTTGCATTATCATCAGTAAAACATGTTTAAAAACCTATTCCCATACCATACAACTCTACCACTAGAGCAAAAGTAACTTGTACCGACTTCTAGGCTGTGCCAAAGGTTTAAGTAGAGAAGTAATACACCCAGGAGAAAAAAAAAAATTCTAGTAAGCATTGTGATTGAAAATAAAAATGAGGGGCACCTAGGCAGCTCAGTCAGTTAAGCATCTGACGGGCTCAGGTCATGATCTCACGGATCTTCAGTTCAAACCCCACGTTGGACTCTGTGCTGACAGCCCAGAGCCTGGAGCCTACTTTGGATTCTGTGTATCCCTCCCTCTCTTTGTCCCTCCCCTGCTCAGGCTCTGTCTCTGTCTCTCTCTTCAAAATAAACACTTAAAAAAAAAAAAAATTTTTTTTAAAGGAAAATAAAGATGAACACTGAAAAAACTGGAAAAAAAATTCAGGAGTCCAAACTACTAACATATATACAAACATGGCTGCCACGTGCCAAGGGGTAAATGCGGATCGAGTGCTGAGGTTGGAATAATCACCGTTTTCAATTACTACCAAAAACAAACAAACAAACATACAAACAGGTGTCACCAATGGATGAGAAATCTAGGGGAAATTTTTGACCAAATATGTTCACATGGCCTGAAATCTATCTCTCTACAGAATGCTTATCGTTTGCAAGAGGAAAAAATCAAACTAGGGTGGAGAAATTAAACACTGCCATGATGGGGGCGGGGGAGGGGAGGGTTGGCAAAATTAACATCACAATGAAGGGCAGACCGACTTCAGGGGCCTGCAGGAGGCAAGCCCTGAAAGGAAACATCACCACCCATGTCCTATTCTGGCCTGGAATGCAAAATGTGACTTTCCCCAAGAGGAAACATTACACATATCAAACACGTGTAATATGAGAAACATTACATTTTTTTTTCATTGGGAGGAGAACTATAGTCTTCAAAAATGTCTGTGTCATAAAAGGCAAAGGAAGTCTGTGGCAACCTTCCAGACTGATAGAGACTAAATAGATATGACAATTAAATGCAATATATGACCCCAGACTGAATCCTATACTGGAGGCTGAAGAAAAATGCCATACAGGACATTATCGTGCCAATTGATTAAACTGAAATACAGAATGGAGCATACATAAAAGGCTTATGGCAGCCATAAATTTGCCACTGTTCGTAACTGTGATAACAAATGGCCATAATACAAACAGTTTACTCCCAAACAGTTCAAAAAATTATCTGAGTGTGTGGACATATATATGCATATACACACATAGGTATACATCTACATCGACATATATACAAGGAAAGAGAAAAAGCACATGATAAAGCGAATTTGGCAAGAGATTAATAGCTGAATCAAGGTAAGGACCCACCATGTTCTACTGATTTTTCATATTCTTGCAACTTTTAGTAAGTTTGGAATTATTTTCAAATAAGGTATTTAAGACAAAAATCTCACAAATATTTTCATTTCTTTTGAAGGAAGAGGGGAGACAGTCAAGTAGAAACAAACGGTACAGATTAGGTGGGAGGGATGGAGACAAGCCTTGGAAAAAATTAGCACACTCAGAGCAAAATATTGCACATTGCCAAATCTGTGCTTAACGTTAAATGTGGTTGTAAGTTCAAACCTAGTTAAAGTCAATAAACTTAAAATAGTCCCCAGGGAGGTGGGGAGACGGTATCACCCGATGCTCTGCTTAAAGAGGCAGAGGACACTCACCAGGCTGGCGGTGAGTGAGGGCGCAGACTGGCCCAAGGCCTGGCTGCGCATGCGCACGAGGTTGGACGTCTCCGCCGAGGTGGCCCAGGCCTGCCCTGCCACGGGGTTTGGAAGCAGGTACCGCCCTGTGGGGGTGAAACAGAAGACAGTGTAAGTGGCAGGCAAAACATCAGTAATTCTGTGGCAAGGGCCAGTCCCTTCTTGGCCATCCTTCTAAACTGCTTCTGTCACACTCCTTACATTTATTAACAGCAACAAGGGTAATGCTGTTTTAATTAAGTCAGGAGATCCAGGGGCAAGTTGTGACCCTGATTTCCCACATAAACCCAAGTAAACCTCCTCCCCTCCAGCATCTGTACCTTTCGGCCAGCACAGGATCAAGCACCTTGTTACTTCTGCCCATTCCATAGGAACTTGCCAAGGATACATATAAACCCATAAAACATTCTCAGCATCATAGAAGGAAACAGAAGCACGGTCAAACGGACTTTTTCAATATCTACTACGAAAAACTGATCTCAAAATCAACTAGAAAAGAGTAAACAAAATGGAGATCATGGTCAACAAAACAAAGAGTTGGAATTCTGTCAAGGTGAAATGGGGCTGGTGCCTCTTTCTCAAAGCTCCTCTGTCTGAAGAACTGATGTTCATCCAACCATGTCCACAGGACACACATGGTATTCATCTGCATAAATCAGGACATCAATGTCAGTCTAGGTTCACTGAGCAATTTACATCAACCTTGAACTCTAATGTATTGGTATGCCTTTAAAAGTCAAACAGTTGAACAAATTTGCATTGCCTTACTTCTTCACCACAAGGACTGGACTAGTTATCAACACCCAAGAAATAAGACTTCTTTTTTTTTTTTTTTTTTTTTTTTTTTTTTTTTTTTTTTTTTTTTTTTAGCATTTATTTATTTATTTTGAGAGAGACAGAGACAGCATGAGTGAAAGAAGGGAGAGAGAGAATTCCAAGCAGTCTCTGGGCTGCCAGCACAGAGCCCAATATGGGGCTCAAACCCATGAAGCTGTGAGATCATGACCTGAGCTAAAACCAAGAGTCACACACTTAACCAACTGAGCCACCCAGGTGCCCCAAGAAATAAGGCTTCTTGACTTTAGGAAGTTAGGATGGATGTGAATATTCACACAGTAATGGAGCTCAAAGTAGAAACCATGATTGATTTTTATCCGTTTCACCCTAATACATGCACAACGACTGGCCATAGTAGGTGCTCGTGAAATATCCATAGAATGATAAAAGAACAAATGGGCACGTCTTTCTCAAACAACAAACAGGCACAAAGAAAGGATGGCAGGCAACGTGGAGAACCTCATCCAAGGACTGGGGAGGGGAGGATCGGCATTCCAGCCACATACCTCTCAGATACATGGAAGAATGCATCACATGTGGCTGATGGCCCTACAGCCGAGGCAATATGTGGATTTTCCCCGGCAGATCTGTTCCTTGTAGTAGAGCCTCACTCTCTTATTCAGGCATGCACCCCACAAGCCTACCCCACTGGTTAATGAGCGTTGCAATATAAAGTGATTTACTAGCAGTGTGCATGGTAACTACCACCACTATCCAAGTACAGTAGTGAGCTGCAGCTGCCATCACTGTCCATGCTAAGAGGTCTAACTCTTGAATTCAAGTACTCTCAGAAATGTGTATCTTTTTTTTTTTTTTAATGCTATTCATTTTGGAGAGAGAAATAGACTGCAAGCAGGGGAGGAGCAGAGAGGGAGAGCGACACAGAATCTGAAGCAGGCTCCAGGCTCTGAGCTGCCAGCACAGAGCCCGATGCGGGGCTCGAACTCAAACTGTGAAATCATGACCTGAGCCCAAGCTGGATGCCCAACCAGCTGAGCCACCCAGGCGCCCCAGAAAAGTGTATCTTAATGGCAAAGGAAACACTTACTTTGCCAAAATTTCTCTTTTGCACCATTATATAGTGAAAGCACACCCTACAGAAAATGAGGTCTGCTTCTGAGATCCCAATTTTGCCTCAGTGACAACGGGGAAGACGTTAGTCAACCTCTCCTGGCCTTGGTTTTTCTGTCTCTAAAATGGAGAGAATGCAGTTGACTATTGTTGAGGGCATCAAAGAATTTTTTAACTAAAGCGCTCAGTAAAAGTTAGCTATATAGTCCAAACAGTAGTAAAAATGGGAAGTATCATTTTCACGTGGATTTGGTTTCTTTTCACTCACAAATAGATAACGTAAATATAAAGGAAAAAAGTCACCTAAAATTGCACCAGGGAAAACCACTATCAACATTTCAGTGATTTTCTGCCAGGCTTTCTTTCTGCAACCTGTATTTTCTTGCAAAAAGGGGATCATACTGATTTTTGTCCCCACATAAGAGATTATGAACTTTTCCAAACAAATAAATATGGCAAACACCCATTAATTGAAGCACAAACTCTACCACTGAAAATTCAAACATAATTACCCTCTGTGATTCTGGTCACCACCTCAAAAACATTCAGGTACATTTTCAGACAAGATAGACCACAGATTTAAAGTCCAGATTTTTTATTTTTTTTCCTAGTCTTATTTTAAAACATGAACTAAAAGCTGAAGTATGAGGGGCTTTGGGCAACCTGTCCCCTTTAGACCCAAAGGCAGGACATTAATAAAGAAGGATAATAAAACCAGAGACTACATTTAAGAATATTAAGATCAGTATTACATGAATAAATGACTTAAGATAGAAATAACTCTATTTGAAAGACATCATTTGTTAATAATGTACCAACCTCCAGTAATCAGAACCCGTGGATTTTTTTCTTCCAATCCCTTCTATTTCTTTTCCTATATTTGGTTTTATATTTTCTTTGTTCATATTTCAGAAAAGAATCCTGGTAGGAGGTATAGAAGCTACGTTATGTCCAGGTTTACATGATGGAGAAAACCTGCTATGGCCTCACCACAGCTCTGCCCCAGTGCTTCGTTTAAAAAAAAACACAAAAATAAACTAAGGGTAGATACGAAAACAGTTGAAGAACTTAATTAGCAATAGAAAAACTTACAATGCAAACATTTCAGTTCACTGAAAAATTTTATAAATCAGTCCTTTTTTTTTTTTCTTTTAGGAAATAATTGTTAGACTATCTCCCTATAACCCTCGAGAAGAAAAAAGTATGTATTTATTTCTATATCCTCACTACCAGGCACAGTGCCTGGCACTTAGTAAATGCTCAATAAATGTTTGTTGCCTGAAATTCAGCCAAACTACACTATTTGACCCATGCTTGATCAAGTGTGAACAGAAAGAATAAAACTAAACAAATCATTTTCTTTAATTTCATTCGCAGCATAGCATAATAGCTAAAAATCCATTGAGGCCTTACTGTATGCCAGGCACTTCCAACATCTTAACAACCCTATGGTGTACTAGGGAAAATTATCTGAACTATAACACCCAGAGAGGGCACACAGCCAGCCCCCTTTTCAGAAAAGATGAGAAATGGTAGCAGACTGGATTAAATGAGATAATGCATTGAATGCACTCAACCTGGGGCATTGGAAATAGTCAATATACTACTATCACTACTCAGATTATCATAAGAACTTTGTTAATTCCATCAACATCATCTCCCACCACCCTAGCAACAAAACAGGGCAATGTGTTCTTGGACTGCAAAAAAAGAAAAATATTTAATAATATTAAAATCAAGAAGAGTATCTTTTTGTGGAAAGGATAAACAGCCAATTTGGAATTGTAGTAATCTCTGGCAGGGAAAATGGGGAATGGGTCCAGGGAGGAGTATGCTCTAATATTTTTATTGCTTTAAAAATCATACGCAGGTGATAATGGGGTCATGAGTTGAACTTAAAAGTTTAAAGAATTAAGTTTTCACTTGTGGTTTTAATAAATTTAATATTTAATTTTGTTAATACAGCTGAAGAATGTGGCAAATATTAAGTTAAGCTAACGCTGGCTGGTATAGGTGTTCTGGTAAATTATTCTCTATTAATTTCTGAACATGATATATAACATTGCTTTTAATGATTCCTATCAAAATATGTGCTCCCTAATCTAATATGGCCAAGTAGCCAGGAGTACATTCCTTCCCCTGCTGGGGCCACATCAGGGAGGCTCTGCTGACGATAGGAAATCTCTGGTGGGTCTGGGTGGGGAAGCAAAGAGCCAAAAGGAACCATGAGGACACATACAGGGTCCCAGTATGAAAGTCATGGCAGCTGTGACCGGCAAAGTTTCCCTTTGTGCCATTGGGTGAACAGAACGGAAGCAGGGAAAGTTCTCGAATAAATCCTCAATGTAGGAAATTCACACGCTAGGATCCCTGCTAGGTGAACCCAGGCACGCTTCAGGTGGGAGGGGCACAGGCAAGCGGAACCGCCTCCCTTCCCTCCACAGACTCGGAAGCTGCTCCAAACCCTTCAATTTCGTTAGATCTCAAAGGGCACTTGAAAGCAAGCAGAGACCACTGCTAACGGGACCCCCGTGTGCTCCCCTCCTCGTAAGTCACTCTGTCTACCACTACCACGTACATTTTTTACGCTACCGTACCATATGTCAATCTCATGTAGGTAGCAAGGCCAGATGTGTGCCTTGTCAAAGAAAAACAAGGCGTGATGTTCAAGTGGTAAGGACAGATTTTAATCAGTAGTAACTACTCAACAGGAAAAAAGAGCCCAGTGTGAACTGAACTCACCTTCCATTTGAACACAATAACGGAGTGTTTTCAGAGAAGAATTAAGGAGTGGGGCAGGGAGCCAGCAGGGGCTCAGTCGAGTCAGGGAAGTGAAAAATTACAAAGGGTTAGTCAGTGTAACTGCGATCAGGCCAACTCTGTCTGCCAGCTGGCAAATATTGAAAATTCAGATTCTATCCTCCCACGCAGGCTGAGAGACAGAGACCCTATCTGTTAGCCCAAACAAACAAACAAAAATTTTGACAGTCTTGAGTCTTCTCCGGCAGGCACTTTAAGAGGACTAGGGTCATCCTAAGGATATCACCTTGACCTTCAGCCTGTGCTACTGTCTGTTCATGTCTTTATTGGCTAAGGTTGAAGCCTAGTTGGGAAGGAGGGCTCAGAGGAGCCTGGCTAGACTTTGGTCAAGGAGAGACTGTCAGGCTTCGATCTTTTT